CATGTTATTGTATTGCCGACATCGTTTAGTGCGCATGATTGTCAAATCATGTAATACAGAGTTCTTTATTTTGCTTATACTGATCCTGATAGCACTGTTTATTTTGATGGAGTTTTGTTCTCTGAGCTGGATGATTTGGTCGTGAGACCTTCTTTGTTCTTCTAAACGACATCATCAGCACAATCATCAGATATAGGTGAAGCGCTCGAATCTCTCCACATTTGGTTCACAGCTTGTTCTGTAGAACTCGATATTGATTGGTTCTTGTTGACCTTAAACCCGTCATTGTTTACTTCTTTGTTTCGGTTGTATCTCTCATTGTTTTGATTTTTGTTCATATGTTCGTGCATAATTTTCCTGGTTGGTTGATAAATTGGATCGATTTCAATGTGCTTGTTGATTGCTGATTGACCTGAGTGCCAAGCTTCTAAGAATTCTCTGGTGTTTTTGGAATTTCTTCTGTCAAAGATTTCCACATTTTTTCAGTCAAATGAGTGTCCACAGCTTTGCACTCAGGGTACTGACGCAGTCAAATCAAAAGTTATGAATGAAGTAGTTCAACGACATATTCGGTAGTTTATCGTGTGCCGAGGAAAAGTCTGATCTTAGCTGGCTGGTTATTGTGAAGGATGCGTAGAACGGCGTACCAAACGGTAATCTGGGTTAAAGGCGTGACCGAGAGTCTTCACCTCGGATGTGCCTAGTAAAATTGATGAAGTGAGGACCAACATCGAAGACTAAAAGAACATTTTACTTCGTGAATTTATTTAATGCTACAGGTTAAATAAAAAACTCAGCCAATTACTTATACGTCTGTTCAGACAACGTTTAATGCAGATTAATAATCCTCTAGTAATTACTCGAAGGACGTCACTTTTCCAGTGCACTACATCACTCAGTCAGATAATTACCCAGATTTGCATCTCAGGATCCAGACAACACACATCATTTTTTGTCCTAATAACTGACCAATACGCATTGACAATTTTAAGCATCCAATACGCAGTAATGATGAGGAAGACTTTGAATGTGTGCCTGACGGCAGACCTGATACTAACTATTTCCGAATGAGGAGGAGGTACACGGGAAAAATTTTGACCAGCGGGGCACTATTATCATATTTCAAACACTTATTTTTATAAGTACTTACCAGATCAAACGGGTCACAGTAAAAGTTAACATGGAACAAAAGCATTCATTGTGGGAAAAGCTGATTGTTGAGCATACAAATACTCGGTTGTAGTATGTGGATAAAGAATGCTATAGCAATAATTCATGGTTCAAAAAAGCTCAGAACTAGAGTCATAAGAAGATAACAAAATCAAAAACCTAATAATCATGAATGAAATTGTAAAGAAGCAACTTTGAAAGCTTTTACGTTAAAATTATATTGTCTTTCACAATAAATTGAACTACAAAATGGTCAGTTTAACGAGTAATCTTATAAGAACATTAGAGATGACCAAATAATGGTGATTATCATCTCCCAAGATACTTGTCTTTTAGTAATTAGCGCGCCACGTAATCTTACTGACAAGTTACTCTGAACGATGAACTTCTTCGTAAACGGGAAGTGGGCACTATTTGTAGACAACAGGAAACCAGTATATAGGCCAGATTTATATATACCTCTCGTGCATTAGGTATTAGAAGGCATTAGGTTGGCTCGTCGACGTCTGGGTGGAGCGAAATACTTTGGAAGGGTGTTGACGTTTTGAAGTACTTCTACACTAATAACAGTTTATTTACTAAACTTTACATAGACCAAGTTTGATTTACAATATAAAATTGTGAACAGATTGGGGAAGTTTGATCATTATACATTATCTTGGTGTAGATCATGAGTTGGCTTGATTACAACGTGAGGAACACTAGTAGCTGATTTAGAATCCGATATTTCTCTTCATTTCTTGAATTTGGTCACCGGCATTCAGGGAGCTCCGGATGATGCGAAATAAAGAACCACAGAGTAATGTGCACAGTATGCATCACCAAAATTAAATACTGGTACTAAGTCGCCAGATAAATAGTCAGGGCCACACTCCTACCTAGTATTCTTCTCATCGTATGACTAGCAAGCAAATCAGTAGTGGGGGAAATAAACATACTAAGGTGGCTGTGAAGCTGACCAGTGGGGAGAAATAACAAGAAAATGATAGGTCTGTTGCGTGATTGTCGCTCGTTAGGACCAAATGCCAAGAATATTAAGGTAGTTTCTGTCAGAGCTAGGCAGACTGACGCTGTGGTACATCTGCGTCCAGGCAGTGCTACGAGTCCGTCTTAAATCGCCTCTGTTCGTTGTTCTGGTACATTTGTCCACAGTGCAGAAAAATACATCAACAGAACTACTGAAAATGGGCACAAGATCCTCATTGGAAGCATCGATATCCATCCCAGCAAGCGTACCCAAGTGGTGAAACACAGTCTTGACCAAAACCACGAAAATATGGGCCACAACCCGAGCCAGCACCCTAGTATTTGTTAACAGAAAGAAGCATCGGCTGAGCTCTGAGGAGGGAGAAAGCAATAACACAGCTCCCCAAACGCTAAAACTGAGGGATGAAAAAGCCGGGTAAAGCCCTGATTTTATTCAATGTTGCAGTGTCGAGAAGTAGCGTATTAAAAAGTCGGGCGGCACTTAATTACGAACACCTGTACAAGTGCAGCATCATGCCCGAAAAATGTAGCACCCCAGCTAAGGTGTAACACTTGCACATGGACATGAATGTAGAGATATGTAGAGCAGCATTGAAAGTAATTTTAGCTTGAGGCAGAATTTTACCGAAGAAATTCTAATGACTATGCCAGAGACCATCGATTAAGCGTTCCTCTCAAATTTGAGTTAGACACGACAAACCGTGAGTCATAAGAGATGCAGACGCACAAGAATCAACTAGAATTTTGGTTTGCGGAGCCTTTGAGCTAATGAGTGGTGGTCAGGAGGAAGCTGAAGGTCACAATATACAACAAGGGTGTCATGCGTCATTCAAATGGTTCGAATGGTTGCGGATGGAATAGAAAAACCTTTCGCTTAACAGCCTTCCGTGTCTAGTAGCAAGGGATCACGAAATCCTCCAGGCAGGAACCTAGGTATGTTAACAATAAAACAGGAAAAGAAATTAATATATCATAGTGCGATACTATTCCTAGTCCTTAAGAATAGATCAAGTTGCCTCTTAAAGAACTCCTGAGAAGTCGCTTGGACTAGCTCGGCCGGCAGCGAATTCCAGCATTTGACAACTCTTAAGGAGTAGAAGTTGTGTCTACCGTCCGTTCTGCTATCTTGTGTCTCCAGTTTTTGGGCGTTACCTCTTAGGTCAGTGTTGGAACTAAGCTTAAGTAGGTGTTTGAGAGGATTTACAGAAGTGTTAAGGATACTATAAGCCATCAGAAGGTCACCTCTAAGACATCTATACTCTAGTGGGTAAAGATTAGGTGAATGGAGGCGCTCTTCCTAAGGTTTAAATTTGAGTCCTTGAACTGATTTCGTGGCTCGCCGTTGGATACGCTCCAGGGTATCCTTATCCTTTTGAACTGAGGGGGGAAATACTATGTTTCCGTACTCTAAATGGGGACGTACAAAACTATTGAAGATTATATGGAAAGTTCTTCCGTCAAACTGGCCAAAAATGCCTTTCAATGTTACCAATGCAATGTTTGCTCGGAAGGCATTTTTGTCACAGTTAGCGTAAAACTTTAAATCGTAGGGCACCAAGACTCCTAAATCTTTTTCGACTTGGGATACTACTAGAGAGGAGTACCTAAGTTATAACTGTAGTCTGCAACATGTCGCAGATGGATTACTTTACACTTTGAAGTGCTAAATGTAAGTATGTTATCGTCTGCCCAACTTTGAAGTCGAGTCAGATCCTCCTGAAGTGCCTGTATTTCGTCTTGGTTGCGTATCTCTCTCCAAAGTTTTACGTCGTCGGCAAAAAGTAATAAGTCTGACGATACCTGTCGAGGAGGATCATTTATATAAATCAGGAGGTCCTAGTACTGAGCCCTGGGGACCCCACTGGGACATTTCATAGCCTGAGATAAAGTGAAACTAACCCTGACCTTAAAATGTCGATTTTTCAGGTATGAAGTGGTGGTAGGATACCCAATCGTATGAGCTTATTGATAAGACATGTATGGTTAACCTTATCAAAAGCGAAGGTTTTCACATCACAACGGTAATAAGTGTGTTCAGATAACTTCTTCCATTGCAATCCACGTCTGATTAGTGTGAACTCCAGATAATGATATAACCTAAATGGTGCCTTTCAGGGCTCATACAGCTAGTAGATCACTAACCCGTATCGAACTCTAGTGCCAGTTGGAGGTTTGGGAGATATCCAACCAACTACAGGTTACGTAATAAAGAGACATAAATTTCTTCACCCAGGAAAGTCACAAAAATGGGAAAAAAATCCGAAATAAAATCTTGAAGCAGTGCACGAAAACCTTTAGCAGGCCGGTGTGTGACCTATTCATGAGATCTGACAAACACGTATTATCTCTCTCTCTTGGACCGGCTGCGTTTGATGTATGTGTCAAAAATGATCACTATTATAATTAGTGCATAATTAGTAACCGAGTCCTATTTTTCTCTTAATCATCTCCGTTTCCCTCTTAATCTTTCAACTCCATCTTCCTACATGTTATCAATTATGTAAATTAAGTATTTACTCTTGAAACAACTATCTCCTCTTAAAGCTTGAATTGTAGCCTTAATATTTCACATTGCAACTACCTGGCAATGCGATAGCTGCTGGTATCCAGAAACCCAAACACTTTGAGGCAAACGCACTTACACAAACTACATGATATATGAATTCACATATGACTAGAATTAGTGAGGTCGAGCAGATAAACTATGATAGACTAGGGATTATTGCTAAAGATTATCAGATACTTAAAACCATACCAAGACAGCAATAAGAAAAATGCAACTATTTGATACAGGCTCTTGTTGAAGATATTGGATATTGGACTTTAAAGATGTGTTCACATTTATGAAAGTATGTGGATGTTATCGTTTTAAGATTAAGATGGTGTCCGAAGGGTCTCATAGACGCTACTTCGAGTAACTTTGATTCGCTTAGTTAAGTATTATTTTTAGCCTTTTGAAAAAATCCACTCCAGATGGAAAGGTAATCTATAATTCAGATTGTAACCTAAATAGTTATCACTGTTCTTAGATCGCAGAACGTTCATAGATCATTTCAGCCACGTCGATCCTGTAGGTGAGCCTATGGTTTTTAAAAAATTTGTGACAATTTGTGTACCTTACTGCTGCAATGAATTTATTTATTGAATTGTTTTTGTCAAAATGCTGAGTGTAGTTCTACTTGAGAGTTTAAATTCAAAAACAATTTTACGATGACATATACCTGACTGTTCACAGTCAATATGTTTTTCCGGTATTATGGAGATGAACTGCATTTCTTCGAAGCTCGACAATTTTGCACGTACATAGATGATGGAACTGCACATTTATATAACGTAATGAATATTTGGGTTTATACGGTATTTAAATTTATCACTGCTCTTGAAAATATCTTTGAAAATTAGAATTTATTGGTTAAAAATCTAGTAAGGATTGTATTGGGCTCATTAAGAAGTAAAAATGCTTTTATGTATATGTATCTCCATATATATTGTGAGATAAACTTATTCCTGTATTCTTGCTATATATTCCAATTTTTCTAAAGTTTTCATTGAGAGAACTTCTTTTAATTTTAGTGGTGATTATACAGCTTACTCTCTAAAATTTGGAATTCGTTTGTTGGTCGGTAATAAGTATGGGAAAAAGAGCGCAATATGTTGTGAAGCCTCTGGATATACTCGGTATTATTATACTCTGTTTGAGTCCACTGCCGTCTAAATCCATATTGATTTCAGAAAATTATTTAAGACCTCGTCAAGTCGCATAAACATATCAAATGCGTTCGAGAGGTATGGAGAAACACATTATTGGTGGTATATTAGTCTTCACAACCTACTCGAACGTAGTTTGTATCTTTACGCCTTTAGCTACAAGTAACTCCACTTCTCATATAATAAAAAAATTTGTCAAACTCCTTCTGTTAAGGCCATTCTATTCTGACGGTTTATACTCCGGAACTCTACATCTTGATATGAAAAACTGACTACGTTCTGAATGTGAAATTATAGTGATCTCCTGAGTAGTTACATGTAAGGCGATGTCGAATCTCACATACAATATATATACCCTGACTAAGACTGAGGTTCGGCTGCGGGATATCAGTTAACTTCACTCAGGTTAGATTGTTTGCAGTGCGATATGTACTGTCAAATACTTCTAATTATTCTCCATCTGTACATCTTTGCTTGTATGAACACAACCATGCTGTACATTTAGACGTCACTGACACTTAAAGGAACTTAGTTTTTATTAGCAGTGTGATTCTTTGTTTCAGCAAATAAAGTTTTTATGATGATCAAGTGATATCTCTTAGTGTATAGAACTCTTCTGAGTTAAGATGCATTTTGGCTTAAGCTACGTAGTGCTTCCGGAAACGTGTGGGTTTGTGTACATCTTTCAAGCACCCTCTGTTGCTCTCAAAACACTTACTTTCGAAAGATATCAAGTGACTAACCAACCCTTTACATGATTCAACAATAAAAGGCGGGCCAGGCTGCGAAGTCTGGAGTGAGCCTAACAATATAGGATTAAAGGGAGCAAGAACAAAGATTGGTGCAGAATAATATGTTATTCATTTTTTTTCGTTAGGTTCTCATCAGCTGCATAAAACCTACAATATTTGAAAATCAAAGTTATTACAGATATTGACACACTGATAAATATGACGGTGATTACAGATGAATATGTCTATCATGATCTCGCAAAGATTATAATAGAGTTAACCAGGTCCTCAGAAATCTTGTTTCGGATAAATAATGAAGTTTGGGGGGGTGAAGTTCCAGAACATTGAAATAGTGATTAGAACTCATGCAGCTATGGAGTGATGAAGTGGCTGAAAACAGATTAATGGTGACGATGAAAGATATGAATTAAAATCAGTGAGTCATGAATTGGGGAAAAGTGGCGATGGTGTAATGAAACTTCAGAAAGAGTTGAGATAATGAATGACTCGCTACATAAGAAGGATGTAATGTTGCCATGGCAAAGAGAGATTTGTTACTGCTTCTTTATCGACTCATAGACTCTTCAGCTAAACTCAGAAGGTTGGAGTTTGATTGTTTGTTAACCATTTTGAAAGACTTCAGTGTATAGACTTGGTGTCGTGTGTCAAGGAGATGTCTTGAGATGGCACTGCTAGGTGCTTTCAATCCGTCGGACCCTAGAATATTTGCAATATGTTCATCTAATCAGACGAAGACTATCCTTTCTGTTTCACGAATGTAACTGCTTTTTGGCGGGTACATGTGACTTTGTATATACAATTTGTGGTAACATGAAAAGGGATATATATTGATCGTTTTAATGATGTTGTTTTAAACAAGACAATCAGTTCAGCTTCAATATAGATTCTATTTTCACTCAATCCAAAATCTCATCTTCATTATCAAATTGTTATTAATAACGAAAACAATACGTTTTCTGAAAAGAAAATGAGCCTTGAGAAGTAATGTACTAGTACCGAGTCGGTCTGTTATAAAACGTCTGTAAAAGTTTTTCGGTTTTCAAAATTGATAGAAAAAGCCTGTTACTGTCCAAACATTTCCGCGTTTTTGTGATATCGCACTTCCCTTGCCAAGCCCTGCTATTTTGATGTATTTTATGCACTGGGGTGGCACTAAGACGGTGTTACTTGCTAAATTAAATATTTTGTAAGGAAAGATAGTTTAGGAATTGTAAGTAGAATTTGTCTCGTTAAAATGTCGACGAATTAAATTTAATAGTTCTGATGCTTTGTCATTCAGACTCCTTTTTTTTAACAGAATAAACTTAACCCAAGCTATCGAGTGGTTAAGTTTTATGGAAGTTTGGTTTAAATTAGATTAACTACATTTCAGGTCACTGAAATACACAATTATAGTTTGTTTAGAATCTCCTACTTTAGTACAGTCAGGAAATTTACCAAAATATAGTCATAGTATCACGTTAAATGTCTTTTGCAATGTCACTCAAACACTTAAGACACAACGCCTGTGAGTCAGTTCACTCGAATTAACGTGATTTGTTCAGAGGATTTAAATCTATATTAATAACAAAGTGGGTAATATAAAACTTATTTTAAAACACTGTGAGATACCCTTAAGAACAATAAAACTAAGCCATCTGAATATTTATTCGCTTGAGAACGACTTAAAAATTGTCTAAACAATATTAATACCTGCAAATCGCTAAGATAAAAATGTAAATGTAAAGTGGTAGATAGCCCATCTTTGTTGATATATATACACAGGTTTTCCATCAAATTATCAAGAACCATGTAAACAAACAAGACATGGAAATTTAATAAATTAAAATGTATCGTGTTGACTTCCAATACATGTTAAATAAAATATGTCGTCTCTTGTCAAGGTACTTAATTATTCAACTTTGGTAAATTTACTTCTGTGTAATTAAATGAAAGGTTGTGGATAGTATTGGGGTCGTGAGTTTGAGTTCCGTCATATTAGCGCCTTGTTGACCAAATGTATCTGCATCCCAGTTTTGATGGTTACTGTCGAAATTCAGTGCCAGATAAAATAAGACGATGTAAAGAAGTCCGATTTTAAAGCCATCAGATTATTTCAGACAAATGCCAATACTTTAACCAAACATGCTTTCAGTCATCATATTAGTGGAATATAATGTGACATTACTACTCATAAGCTTGTATCCTGGTATCTACAATTTGCTATGTCATAAACTATAATATTACAGCCTCAGGTTATTACAATTAAATTAGAAAAATGAGATTTACTTTAGAGTAAATTAGTCAATAATATTTAATAACTAAATAAGTAAATTATCAGTTTAGGTGTTGAGGAGGTTGTTAAGTTTTTGATTGAGATCAGGAACCGATTGATGTTGAACCACCATCAAAAACCTGGGAGCAACGGATGGCCGTTTCCTTCCATTGTGCGACTCCCCAGCAGCGCGCATCCACGATCCCGCTCGTGGGGTTAGAACCCAGGGCCTTCGGTCTCGCATGCGAACGCTTAACCCACTGGACCACTGAGCCGGCATCCAGTGGTGTTATTGTTCACTAACTCGCTGCACAATTTGTTTTTAAACAATATCATATGGTACCATAAGCCTCTATCAATGTTTTGGCGTCTCATACTTGAAAAGACCCATATGATACTCAATATTAACTAAATGGAAGTAAATTAGCATTAGTACGTTTAAATCATACATACCGCCTATTATTGGATATATTCTTGAAAAATGAGCATTAAATTCTTGTAAAGCTTGTAAGAATTTCATCAAAATATTATGGATTTTTTCTACACTATCGTAGAATATATACCGGATAGTTGTCAACATTTTGCGAAAAGTTATTCCTTAGATGAAAAAAAAGAACATTCTGATTACTTTCAATATTTTTTAATATTTAGTTCAATCAGATAAGTTCTACGATTATGCTAAAACTTTTATTCAAATTTCACTTATCTAGTCATTTTGTTAAATGATGGTTGAATACAATCAGTATACTAAGATAAAATGTAGATGAAGTCAAATACCTCTAGTTTTTAAGATAACTTACACTATAAAACCGTAATTGTTTAGGGGAGAACATTATGACCAAATGTACAAGTAATTTGTATTAGCTTGAAATTCTTTAATAAGGAAGACTGATAAAATTGAACTGAGAAGTGTCATACCCCACAAAACCTTTTACGTTAGTTTAATTTATTAAACAGATTTAATGTATTTTCATTACTGTAAGTATATTTCTAATTTTATGTATTTGGATGGGTTTGATTTACTAAGTCATATTTTTTTTCCTGGAAGTCTCTGTTACTGGGTAGAGATGAAGAGAGGAAAATATGACTTCTAAACATAATTTGTTTATAAATTCACTTGGTGTTATTTACTTTTATCTTCCCATTGTTACTTAGGACTGCAATTGATCAATTTCTTGTTGGCATATGTGCATCCTATACGGATTGCCTCGATATTGCCTTAGGTCACAAGAATTATAAGCAAAGATGTGTTTATTTTTTTTAGTCTGTAAATATCAAGAAATATTTATTAAAATGTCGGCTTATGCTATTCTTGCATATTTTAGATAGTACGATCTAGTTTGTCTAAAGTTATTAATAA